GCGCAATATTTGCAGCATACCTGGGTGTTCGTCATTTTCGTCATTCACTAGAAGGTCGTGATTTCATTATCTTCACTGACCATAAACCGCTCCCATACGCTCTCAAGTCCTCTCGTGACAGATACTCTCCCCGAGAGATTCGTCACTTGGACTACGTGTCGCAGTTTACTACTGATATTCGACACGTTGCATGTGTGGATAATGTCGTTGCCGATGCCCTCTCGCGCATAGCGGCAGTTTCTGATAACGTGATTAATTAGACACGAATGGCACAACTGCAAGATTCCGACCTGGACTCATTGGAGTCCTCTTTAAATCTTCAGCGTTTGCCACCAACCACTTCCGAGGGCACGATCTGGTGTGACGTTTCCCGCACCCCACCTCTTCCTTGGATACCCGTACAGATGCGCAGAGTACTTTTCGATACACTCCATAACCTCCCTTATCCAGTTATCCGAGCCAGTTCGGCACTAGTCAGCCAACGTTTCGTCTGGCAATCCATGCACAAAGATGTGCGTAGTTGGGCACGTTGCTGTTCGGCATGCCAGAAATCTAAGGTGACCAGACACACTAGTAGCCTTCTTGGTACTTTTGGCACTGCCGATGCTAGGTTCGGTCACATACACTTAGATATAGTGGGACCGTTACCGCAATCTCAAGGTTTTACCTACATTCTGACCCGCGTAGATCGTTTCACTCGTTGGCCAGAAGCAGTTCCGATTACGGACATCTCGACTGACACCCTGACCAAGGCTTTCGTTGAGCGCTGGGTAGCGAATTTCGGGTTCACTACTACGTTGACTACAGACCGTGGCCCTCAATTTGAGTCCGCGTTATTTAACTCGCTAACGGCCATGTTAGGATATCAACGTATACGTACCACAGCATATCACTCGGCCGCTGACGGCCTCGTCGAGCGTTTTCATCGACATCTTAAAGCTGCATTTAGTGCACATTCCGTCATTTTATGGACCAAGGCACTCCCACTCGTCCTACTTGGCATAATAATTGCCATCAAAGACGACCTCAAGTGCACGCCGGCCGAACTAGTATATGGAACTACACTCCGCCTTCCCGGAGAGTATATTTCCACACACAAAACTTCACTGAAGGCATCGCCGGATTACGTCCAACGGCTTACTCATCACACGCGTGAGTTAACCCTAGCCGCCCACAACAAAAGGTAGTCTTCATACATCCAGATTTGAAGACTTGCACGCACGTTTAGGTCCGTTGCGACACAGTACGCAGACCCCTAAAGGCTCCATATAATGGCCTTTATCGCGTACTTCGGCGTAGTGAAAAACAGGTAGTCATCGATTGGAACGGTCACCGCGATGCTAGCTCCATTCACCGCACGAAGCCAGCTTACATAGACGCAACATTCGTAAGATTCAGAATATCGTTTTCCACAAACACAATCTTTGATTCTGCTTCCTCTTGGGACAGATATTCAAAACGAACGTGAGCAAAGATTAGTGACAGGTTCTGACGAACATCAGCAACCATCGAGTCACTAAGCGGTGATTTCCCGAGTCGAAAGCTTTCCGGATGTCCAGGTAGCACACCTCGACTTTCTGATCTCCATCTACCCTCTTTGTATTTTCGTCTAAGAAACAAAGAAGTTTGCTCAGACACGACCCCTTTTTGAGACAGCCGTACTGGGTATGGCTAATCAACCTGTGTCGAGTGACGTGCTCACAGAGAGCATTCCTAACAATGGTTTCTAAGCCCTCACACAGCACGCTGGTCAAACTTACGGGTCGGCAGTTACCAGGTTGCTGCCTATCTCCGCTCTTTTGAACGGATACCACTGTGGCAGTCGCCCAATGTTTGGGTACTTTCCCAGCCTTTAGGGACTCCTGGTAGAGTGCGCTTATCGCAAGGGCGAGCAGAGAAGCTGGTAGTTTGATGATGGTCGGGTGTAGCCCGTCACTGCCAGCGGACTTGTTTACATTCAAGCCCTCCATGACATCGAGAACGCTGCTAACTGAGTCTTCCACATCATCCACTGGAGGGGTGTCTAAAAGCCCTCGAGGGACCACACGCCCATCTTCCATTTTATAGACGGTTTCGAAATACCTCCTGAGTGTCTCACAATTTTCGTAATCTGAGACCAACAGCCCACCTCCGGGGTTCTCCAGAGTGCCTACCAATTGTCTTAGTGCAGTCTTCGATTGCACATAGCCATAGTACCTCTTGGGTTCCTGGCGCTTTCTCATGGCGATTTAACCTCGAAGGTCATTTTCGCCTGTTTTATTAGCTTGTTTGCATAGTTTGAATTTGGGGGACTCCTGTCATCGGTATTTACGCGCCTCACTACTGTTGGAGGCGCGGGCATTCCCGGGCTTCTGGGGCTGGGGGTGCTTAGGACAAAGGCGTATGTTGGTGGGGTAATAAGCTTGGCCATTTTAGTTTTGAGCCCTCTTCTGCAGGAAATCCGTTCACCAGGAGGGCGGTTTCGGGTTTACCCGTTTTATCGTTTTTGATGGTCTTTCGCTGTATCATAGGTCTGATAAATTGCTGTCTGATCTCTTTGCGGAGGCTGGTATCGCCGTTGGCAGATTGGTATGGGAGCTTCCACTTGAGCTTCCGCAGTTGCTCGGCAATAATCGCAATACTCTTTTCCCGTATTTCAGCTTCATGAGCCATCCAGGCTTGGCGCGCTGCATCCTTGCAGTGGCCACAGACCCAGTCAACTTCACTGTTTTCGCAGTTTACCTTTAACTGATAATGACAGAACAATTTACCAAGTATAGTAAGATCGCCGAGGGATACAACCTAATTCGAACGTACCGCCAAGGTTTGGTTCATTTAAATTCAGTTCATTTTGCACGGGACCAAAAAGGCCCCCATCAATCGAACGTCTAGTTCGTTATGTTGTCGTTGCGCGGTATCGGCCCCTAAAACTGGATTCGGAGCTGATTCTTGCGATGGTGATTTGGCACCAGTTTGACAATTTTGAGTGTTCTCTTATTTCATTTCAGTTCAGGAATCCAGGACTTGACGGCGAAATACCAAATTGTCCAGTTTCTTGCTTTGGTGGGCTCTTGGATCCCCCAGTGCATCGACTCGACGACGGTAAGGTCTTCAGGAAATTGTAGATTCTCTGTTATCGTGCTCCGTGTAAGCTTTTGTCATAGACCTGTACGTCTACAAAATTAAAAAAGTCAGTTGTTAGTGCGGTGTGAAAGCGAACACCTTTAATTCAGGCACCTTTATACAACTGCTCTGGTGTGTTCTTCATTCCTCGCCAAATATGTTACCACACTCTCTGTCAAGCTGAAGCTTGAATTGCTTTACCGTGTCGACTTCTATTACTTCACTCGGCAGCCTATTTTAATCATTTATCAATCTGACTGCAAAGAAGTGACTTCTGATCCCCAATCTGAGTCTTTCCTTCTTCAGCCTCAGAACTTGTCCTCTCAGGTTTTCACTATCTCTCATCCTAAAAATGGGCTCATTAGCGCCCTCTATCTGTGTCAAGCCTTTTATTATCTTGGATGCTCCTATTAGGTCGCCTTTTCTTCTCCTCTTGAGAGAGAACAGCCCCAACTCCAGCAACCTTCGCTCGTACTCCATCTCCCTACAGTGACCAAACCACCTGATGAAGCGGCGCTGTACCTGTTTAAAAAGCCTGCAGTCACTCACCAATTTGTGTCTCCACGCTTGGACGCAATATTCCAGGTGCGGCCGGACAAACGCTTTGCACACCGGTAAGAGAACACTTGGCTTTCTCGAACACACAGATCTTTTCAGTTGGTATAGCGTCCGCCTGGCTTTCTGTGTAGCGTGATGGCACTGTTGGCTTGGCCTGAAGTCTGACCTCATTATCACTCCCAGATCTATAGGTTCAGTTGCTCTCTTCAATTCCCTTCTGTCCCCCGGAGGGCTAATATAACGAATTTTGCCTTGGCTCGCTCAGCTCAACAAGATGGTGGTATTTCGCTACATTGCGAGGGAGATCCCACTCCAACGATCCCTGATACACCTTATCTGAGTCTCTTTGCTTTCTGTCGTCTATTACTGCCCCAATTATCTTGATTTCATCCGCAAACTTGAAGTATGAGTTTTTCAGTCCGTTCGCTAGATCATTGACAAACAACACAAATAAAAGTGATCCCAGCACTCTACTCTTCAATCCTCCTCTCGATGACAGGGCTTCGTCCACTCTTACCTGGAATTGTCTTCCCTTGAGGCTTGACACTACCCAACGTCCTACTCTAGGCGCCATCCTTAATGCTTTCAGTTTTTGAATCGAAGGATTTTAAGTCAAGATACCAGACTTCCATTCGCTCTCCCTTGTCTTGCCTGTTTGTTACCTCGTCTTAAAACTTCACGAGGTTACAGAGACAGGACTTCCGTCGCATGAACCATGGTAAGGCCCTACTAATTTTTAGCTTTCAAGGTGTCTTTGACGTTCTCTATTTTAATTTGATCTGCTTTAGATAGGCCAGAGAAGATAATGGGGTAGTATTCTAGATGCTGTCTGGCGTGGGATACGTAGGCACTTAGTATACTGTTCCTTAGTTTGAGGGATTTTGTAATCATACCAATTATTTGCATTGCTTTAGCCGTTTGAAATAAAGTGTTCAGAAAACTTAATATTGTTTGAGTAGCGGAGCCCAAGATTGCGCACAGACGTGCTGGATGGAAGAGGTGCGTTATTTAGTATGTCTTGAAGTATTGAAGCAGTACTTGGGTTCGAGGCTTGTTCCCAATATTCCCGTTTCCGGATTTGTCTTCTTTGCTGCAGTTTAGTACACGAGCTGAAAGGGATGTTGACGGAAATGGGAGCTGGCTCTAATATCGTGCCGCTGGGTTAAGGATGCATGCATCGGAAAAAATCTAGAGGAAAGCGGGGATGTGAGAGGAGGAGTAACAGGGATAAGCGGGATAACGTGGGGATGTCCTTCAGAAGATGGAGGCCAGTTAGGTCAGGGGGATGGTAAGCCCTAGGTTTGAGTCTAGCAGGGTCTCGAAGACCCTTTTGGAGGAGGAGTTCACAATCTCTAGTGGAAGTTTGATCCATTCTGGGATGACCCTGTACGTGAAGAAGTTCGAGCGAATGAAAGTTCTGGGCCGATGTTTGAAGAGTTTTCTTGGCTGTCCTCTTAAGTGTTCCAGGCCAGAGTGCGTGAAGAAACGGTCAACTTGGGCTGACATGAAGAGGTCATATAGAAGAAAAAGATCCCCTCTGATACGTTGTATATCTAGAGGGTATAGATTTGGCTGTTTTATTCGGATAGGGTAAGGGATTTCTGATAAGCCATGTAATAGTTTCGTGGCTCTTCGCTGCACACGCCCTAGTGAGTCGCGGTAACGAATGAGGCCAGCATGTTCAATTTGCCTGCCGTATTCTAACAATGGGCGTATGAATGTCCCCTTTGGTTATGCGCGAGAAAGATCGTTTGATAACGTTAAGAATAAGAAAAGCGGTTTTACTGGCCTTTTGGTTATGGGAAGAAAGGGAGAGGTTGCTACTCAGCCGGAAACCGAGAATTTTGTGCTGATGCAGCAGTTGGAGACGGGTTGAACCGTTTACCCGGAAGGGTTGACCAGCAGCGTTACCAAAGGTCATGCTTGCACATTTTTCGTCATTGATTTATAAGCTCCAGTGGACTGACCAAATTTTTGTTTGGGCAATCGCCGACTGCACTTGGGATGCGTCTGTGCCACAGATAGTGACATCATCCGCGTAAATGGCAATCTCTATAGGGAAACGTTTAGGGAGATCATTAATATAGGTCAGAAATATTATGGGACCTAGTACGGAGCCCTATGGGTTTCCTATTGAGACTGAGGAGGGCAAAGAAACGGATGTGTCTATTCGAACCGCGAAGGAGCGGTTCGACAGAAAACTAGTAAGCAGGGAAAGGAGTCGGCCAGTGATGCCATAACTCTAGTTTGTACAGGAGAGGGATGTGTGGCACTCTATCAAAGCCTTTGGCAAAGTCTATGAAGACCGCCTACGAAATGTGACCTTCGTCATAGGCATGGGTTAGGCTATCCATTACGGTTAGCATATTGGAGATGCATGACCTGTTTGGTAGGAAGCCGTGTTGGGAAGCTTGTACCAAGACTTTCCCAGTTAGGTGTCTTGGAATATGCTGTTTAAGGAGGCGCTCGAAGATCTTACTGGGAATGCTGGTTAGGCTGATGGGCCTATAGCTAGTAGGCAAGTGTCGATCGCCTTTCTTATAAGTAGGGATAACAGTTGCTCTCTTCCACTATTGTGGAAGGGTTCTTGTGTCCAAGAACTTTTAAAAGAGTTGGGCATATGTGGCAGCCAACACGTCCGCGGATTCTTTCAGTATACGGGGGTGGACTTCATCCGGACCCATCGAGCTGAAGGAGTTCACGCGTTTTAGTTGTTCTTCCACTTCTGAGACTGTTATGTCAAAGTGATCCAACGGGGATCTGTAGGTTACAGGATGAAGATTGGGATGACTGAATGGAGATGGGATGTTAAACATTTGGTCGAAATGGGACCGGAACATTTCCGCCACTTCTGCAGATGAGGTGGCTGGGGTACCGTCGGGTTTAGATACAGCAAGGGCGGATGGAGTGTTTTTCCGGGTTCGTCGCGTAAGTTTGTACAGGACTGACCGGTTTACCCGTGCCCTGGCTAAAGTGCCGTTCTGTTGGTTTCTCCGGAACCCTCGGATCCTTGCTTTGCACAAATTGCGAATGCGGATGAAGTCATTGGCATCTTCGATCAGACCCGTC